ATTATTGTGATGTTTTTATCAGCTGTTTGGACTCTCATTCTGACGGCACCCATTCACTGCAGAGCATCCATTGGGTGTGAAATTAACAATTATCATCTTAAGGATCAAGGCAAGGCAACATTTTTAGTTTCTAACCTAATCCAATCTATATTTTATTACAGCTTCATTTGAAATTAATACAAATGTTTGTAATAGTTAGTGGATGATAATAAGGTCACTCAGAGTGATTGGCTGTTGCTGGTGTGTTCGCTCCTTGACCGCCGCTGCTTCACGTATATGGTGATGGAGTACTGTGTCTGTGGAATGCAGGAAATGTTGGACAGCGTTCCAGAGAAGAGATTTCCAGTATTTCAAGCTCACGGGTGAGACGCTCAAACACCAGACATCAGATAAACACACACTTCTCTGAAAACCAGTGTATCTGTGCATCGCTATCGCCACTCTGATGCATGTTTGATGGGTCGTACTATTTCCACCATGTCTATTTTTAGCCTCTTGATATTGGTTTTATTTCTGTGTCATTCCATTTGTATATGTGACCCTGGAGCACAAAACCAGTCATAAGGGTAAATTTTTTGAAATTGAGATTTATACATCATCTGAAAGCTGAATAAATAATCTTTCCATTGATGTATGGTTTGTTAGGATCGGACAATATTTGGCTGAGATACAACTATTTGAAAATCTGCAATCTGAGGGTGCAAAAAAATCTAAATATTGAGAAAATCATCTTTAAAGTTGTCCAAATTAAGTTCTTAGCAATGCATATTACTAATCAAAAATTAAGTTTTGATATATTTACGGTAGGAAATTTACTAAATATCTTCATGGAACATGATCTTTACTTAATATCCTAATGATTTTTGGCATAAAAGAAAAATGTATAATTTTGACCCATACAATGTATTGTTGGCTATTGCTGCAAATATACCCCAGCGACTTAAGACTGCTTTTGTGCTCCAGAGTCACATTTGTAGATTTGTGTGTGCCATTCGAGTTCGTTTTAACTGAGGTTAACTTGCGTTACAAAGCAGTGGCCTGGTTTAGGCCTGAAGTTTGTTTTTCAAATTTTAAGATGTTAAAAAGACTTAAACTAAGCAGATTTGAATCTAGCAAAGCAGGTACAGTCTTCATTTTTCTTAAAGAGTTTGAGAATGTTACATTAAAATGCATTAATGTGTTACTGATCACTGAAGTGATTTCTAAGTGTTTTTGCTGAGCTTCTCTTTGTGCTTGAGTAAAATGGGCATGTAATGGATATATATCAAAATTATCGATTTTGAATCAAATCAGAAATCGAATCAAATTACAAGCTTGTGAATCCGAATCAAATCAGATTGTGAGACTGTGAACCGGCTTTGCTGATCTGCTGGTCTTTAACACCTGATTCACACGTTTGTGTCTCTGTTGTTCTTCTATCAGATACTTTTGCCAGCTCCTGGATGGTCTTGAATACTTGCACAGCCAGGGAATTGTACACAAAGATATTAAACCAGGGAATTTGCTGCTCACTACAGACGGGGCGCTGAAGATCTCTGACTTGGGTGTAGCCGAGGTGAGACGCTTTTATCAACACACTGAGCTCATTTAAACGATTAACCCTGTAAATCCTCATATAAGAAATAATAGTCAGAGTTTGCTTCGTATCATCAGGCTTTTATGCCTCATATAGTCTGATATACTGAGAATATGGCGGAAAAAACACCTCACTCGAACTGAGCTAACGTATGCAATTTGCTGCAGATGCTGATATTTCTATAATGAGATGCTTGTGATGTAAATCAGTGAGATCTTTATAACAGTGCAGCAGATACTTACATAAAATGATCTAAATATCAGTCGTGGCTCTATATCTCCAGTAATAATAAGATGAGAGTGAAATGCTCCAAACATATAATGCAGTGATTGAGAGCTGAAGAAATAAAGGCTCCTCAGAAGATGTGAGATGTTCTGGAGGCTTGTGAAGATCATTCCTCCGCTGAGGAACAGTGAAAGTAAAGCTTCTGGAAACAAACGCTCCTCAAAAGATCCTGAGGATCAGATTTGAGACTCTAAAACATGATTGATGGAGAATCAAGTAAAGCTGAGCTGCTTCAGTCCAGTAAGAGTTCATCTGGAGATATTACTGCAGTTATTCTGACGCTTACTTGATCAAAATCAGTCAAGATTTGACACGAGAAGCTCCAGCTGAAGCTGAACGCTTGTACAATTACACTAAAAGAGCTTTTACTGGATAAAAAACTCTAAACTATCAATCAGACGACAGAAGACATGAGGAGATCGAGTGTGAAACAGCAAAGATTGATCGTTGATCATTTAGAGCTTTAGAAATCCATTTCCAGGTATAAAAAAGAAGGCTTTAAAGGGTAAACACTGAAGGAGGACACAGAAACATCACTGACCACATGCACCTTCTGCGCTGACTCTGTGTTGATCTCTGACCTTTGATCCCCAGGCGCTCCACCCATTTGCGGAGGACGACACGTGTCGGACGAGTCAGGGGTCGCCAGCGTTCCAGCCTCCAGAGATCGCCAACGGCCTGGACACGTTTTCAGGCTTCAAGGTGGACATCTGGTCTGCTGGGGTCACACTGTGAGTTCCTCCAGACACCGTCAGCAGTGCAGCTTCATGCTGATGAAGAAACACAGAGTGCTCAGGCTAATTAGCTCAAATTACGTCTGTGCCTATTACATGTGACCCTGGAGCACAAAATCAGTCATAAAGGGTCAATTTTTCGAAATTGAGATTTATACATCATCTGAAAGCTGAATAAATAATCTTTCCATCGATGTATGGTTTGTTAGGATAGGACAATATTTGGCTGAGATACAAGACTGTGAAATTAACAGCTTTAATAAGGAAAATAACTTTATTATAATTATTAAAGTCACATGATATTGCACAAACATCTTCTGGAGAACATTAAAGAGCATTTACATTATCTTTACTAGAAACAAATGAGGCTAAAACAAGAGGGAAAAATTAAAATAGAATCACCAATGAGTTTCTCATTCTTTTAAAAATCTGTCACATATTTAAATGACTGATTAAAGAAAAATATTTGATGTGAAGTGAGTTTACCTAAATCAGAAACTGAGAGAGTAGCCTAAAAATTTATATTTATGGATAAAAATTAAAAATGAGTTGGAAGATATATTCCTTGTATCTTATCAAAGGTATCAGTATTGTAACAAATAATATCTTTTACATTTAGGGGTGTGCGATATTGACAAAAAATAATATCTCGATATTTTCTGGGATTTTATCGATGACGATAATTAGACGATATTTTGCTGAGTGTGTTATTGTGCTGGTATCTTAAGGACTGCCGAAGACAGCTGACTCCTAATGTTTTTAATATTCTTCATATTCTGTGTGGTGGTCAGTTCATAGAAATTAATCTTTTCCAATAAGTTTAAACTGATTTTGACATTTTATGGGCATTTTTACCTTTATAAAATGTCAGATTCTTACATTTAATCAGGGAATTAGAATAATAAGACATTTGGGCTGTTACCAAGCAAATGAAATCAACACAGAAGCTGCATCTGAAGTGGCATTTAGATGTATTTACACACATGTATTTTGTTTA